GGATAGCAGTGATGTACGGCGTAATACGGGTTGTGGAGTATACCATGTGAGCTTAATAGCGTCTGTAAGAAAAACGAAGTAGTTTCTCTACATAGATTTTGTTCATGAATCACTATAGAAATCGGAATTAAGCCCAACTTGCAAGGTAACAACGCCAGCACAACGGAACAGGTTGTGACAGCCGTGAGTGCCGTCGAGTCTCTGTAATTATTGTGCATTTCAAGAGAATCAAGTCATGTCAATCGTACCTGCATTATGAAATAAAATCCAGGAAAATCTGGAATTGCATCAAGACTTGGCATACGATCCCATGGGCAGGTAAAACCTCTCTCGGACCTATAATAGCTTAGCAGCATCGTAATCAAGAACAACAAAATCTAACCGATGTAGTATTGTCCGGGAATGCAAAACTGGCGTAAAACTTGCGCCAAACGGCGTGGGATTGGGCGCACGCCTGGGATAGTGTTGACGAGAAGATCAGCCCAGCTGAAAAAGTAATGATTAGCACTGCACATATTGAAAAACACATATACTCTACTAACTGTTGGGACTCTCCCAAATTCGGCGGTGGCTGCTCTCCGTTAAATTCGCTCTCCATTTTTTAATGAAACTGTAACAAAATGCATTAAATTATATATAACACACGAACACTAAGTGTGCTAATGTGGATGAGTAGAAGGACTATAACTGCAAACAGAAAGTAAAGGAGGATAATTCAAATGGTAGAGCAACGCTTATAGACGAAGTGAGCAATAACATGATCAAGTGTCTTGTCGCATGGCATGCCAAAAGAAACAACAAACGTCAAAACAACACCACAAGTTCGTCTACGATTTCGAAATAACTTACAGTACACAGGTCTCAAAGGGAATTGACATCGTTATTGGCTCGTCATCTCCTTGAAAAAGCAACCGTAGTGTTGTTGAGAATGCCCACTACAAAAACGTTTTCTAGACCATTACTAGAGAGATGGGAGTGACCACTCTGTTCTTGACTTGTTGGATACCTCAAGTTTAGAAGCACATAGCAATAACAACGGGAAGTTTGCAAGCAGTGCTTTGTCTATAATACATATACATCATGCTCTATGGAACTTGAGCATTACATGCAGTTTCTCAAAAGCGATCTAGGAGGTCAGGATGTGCAATGTCTCTTGCTTATAGACACAGTTCAACCCCTAACTTTTTATGGTGGATTGAACGAATTAAGGTATAAATGGCTCAAAAAGCAGTCTTTCTGCAGGTTTAATGAGACAGTTCTCAACAATCGAAGTCCTATCTCTGTTCCTCTCTCACATGTATGTGTGTAAGACACTAACGTGACGTCATTATTGTGATCGTAGTTATTACTTTTGAAATACGGTAGCTTTAGTTCTCTTGAGTTGTAGGTAATGGATTAGCTACCACTGAGTTTTTTTAGGTAAGCTGTTAGGTATTGTTTTTTTGTTTCTTTGTATTTTTT